CTTACATACTGAGTTGAATTTTAAATTTATTAGAATAAGAGTGCCTTTAAGTTAACTTTGCAACAAATCAAAAATCATTCAATTTTGAGTCGATCACGATTTTTGGCAAATTTTGGATTAGAAAGGGTTGTTGCCTTCAATTCTTAGACATTACCAAGGTTCCTTTACTTTTATCTCTCTTTAGTCTCACTTTTACTCTTATTTTTACAATAATTTATAACTTTCATATTTCAAATTTTATATTTTATTTTTTAACTTCTAATCTTTAATCTTCTCTCTTTTATTTTTAATTCTTGTATTTAACTTTTATTTTTATCTTTTATTTTTAACTTCTACTTTTAATTTTTACTTGAATTTTTATTTTAAATTATAATTTTAATTTAGTAACTAAGGGCTATATGAATGATCTTGAATAAATCATGGAAATTATGTAAATAGCCTTAAAGACCATAATAATTTCATTAAATCTTTTTTTTATTAATATTGGTAAGTATTGCTTGAAAGGATTAAAGTTAATTAAATTTCTAATACTAAAATTTAAATCAACTTAGCAATTATATAATTGACAGTTCTTCCATTCCACCTCTCAAATTTATTGTGTAGCATCAATTTCATTGAGTGGTGAAATTTGGGCTCACAAAGTGCACCTATGAACCCAACTTGAATAAATCCATCGAGATATTGGAAACGATGCAACCTTAAATAGAGCTTGATTTATTATAAAAATCCTTGAAATTTTGATATTGTTCCATCAAAATTCTCAAACATACTAATCTTTGTCCTTGTCATACTTATAAAAGTAAAAATCCTTGGATTTGATTGCAAGGTTGATCTACTTGCTTCCTTTAACTGCACAACTTTTTGCTACAAATTTTAAACTTCATCCATAGGTATAGGCATAGTATCTCCATAGTTTGCATTAGAAATATGAGAGATTTCTACTCTTAGAATATTGAAAAGCTCATAAAGATCTACAATAGTTGCAAATCTATTCTCACTTCCACTGAGAATAGCATCCATAATCTTTCCTTTTATAGACAATTCAAAAAAATCAAAAAGTTGAATTAGAAGAGGATAATCCGCAACCTCTAATACCAAATGAAAATTTTCACAAAGAGGGATAATCCACTCTCTTTAAGGTAAAGATCGATCTTAGAAAATAAGATATTTTATTTGAAAGTAAGTAGTCTGAAACCTTCAAAATACAACAATAGAAGTAGAATAATCCACTCACTTCTAAAATAAGATAAAAATAATAAGTTAGCACTCTTGTCAAACTTCCAAGGATATAAATCTTGAAGAAAAAATCCTTAATATATTCTTGTGTCAATGAAAGGAATTAGAAAGTCACTCAAATATGATATAATAATAAACTAAAATGACTATTGTCAAAACAAAAAGACTAGAAAAGTGTTGACAAGAGTGAAAAAGGCTTCACTCTTGCCTCCATATATACTTTTAAGTAAGAGCTATGTAGTGATGTTCTATAGGACCTCCAAAACATGTTGACTTTACAAGATACATATCTTAACTTGCAAAATAAGTTTTTTATGTGTATACCATATAGTTAGCAAGTTCCACAAGCTACCAATATGTAGTTAATTTATTGACCAATTTTCTAATCTATTAAACAACTATAAACACATGTAAAGTCAAAGTAGTGACTATAAAATTAACCTACTTTTATCTACTTCTACCTAATCATATAGATATTTACTAAAGTACCTATATATATTTATGATATAATTTCATATTTCATTTATTTTTTTATTTTTTTACTAATAAAAGACTATACATATATCTATAAGAAGATAAATGCCACATCCTTATATAAAAGTGGATAATAATTAAGAATATGAAGTCAAAGAAGTTTTAAATTTAAGACAATGTCAAAATAGGTTATGATATCTTCTTTTTTGGCATGTATTTGATATTATTGAATGCATATAAAAGACAATCAAGAATCTTACAATTACAATAAAAAAATATTGATGCTTTTCATTGAAAACATCCATGAAAATCAAGATAAAGAATAGCAATTCTTTGTTATAAAAGAAACAAATTTTAGAAAAGATTACATTCTACTTTCTATTTATGTTGATAGTTTCTATATATTTATGATGCTAAAGAAATAAAAAATGAAAAACTATCATATTCAAATCAAAAGCTATTATTTTTTTAATTACAAAATAACACATCATAATTGTTATAATCTTTTAAACAACATAATAGAAATGAAGACTCTCAAAAATGACATATTCTTCTTCAAATAGATGGTAAAATATAACATGTTTGATATCACCACCTTTGAAGAAAATCTCAATGTTCGGTAATATTATTAGAGGTAGAAACATTCCTTGATTGTATTTCAAATGTTTTATTTGAAGGAAGTTATAAAAGCCTCAACAATGATCAAATATCATGGTGGTCTTTCTACTTTTATACATGATACTATCAATAGCTGTAGGAAATAAAAATCAAAGTATGTAGCAAATATAATTTATTGCATCTTAGACTTTTTCAACATATGACTATTATTCTTTATGAAATTTGTCTCTAAAAAAAAAAAAAAAGGAGTATGGTCATAAACATACATATTTACCTAGGATAAAGGAATTAAGTAGAAGTAAATAAATTTGATAATATCTTATACAGAAGCTTCTTAAAAGCTTTATAAATATAGTTTGATTTTATATGTATTTATAGGTGATTGGTAGGTTAAAAACTTAGCCAATAAGTTGGCTATATGTTGTATACATTGGCCACTTTTGGTAGAAGTTTGCTATATAATATACATGTGAAACTTATCTTATAAATTCAATATATGACTTGCAAATTGGACACGTGTTGAATATCTTATAAAATATTGCCACATAGCTCTTAACTAGATAGTATATATGAAAACAAGAGTGAAGCATTTTTTATTCTTGTTAAATCTTTTTTTGTCTTTAATCTTATTTTAAGAGATTTTAGTTTGCTTGTCTTTGATAATAGCTATTATAATTTATTATTATACCATCTTTGAATAGCTATGCTTTTCAAGTAATACAAGAGTGTATTGATTTTTTAATTTTTTGGATTTATATTTTTAACATTAACCTATAGAAAAATTTTAATCATAAAGTAAATTTATTTCATAGCTTATTATTATCAAAAATATATTCAATTAACTAAATTTGTATAAAAATTAATTTGATCAAGTCAAGGTAACTTAACTAAAATAATTTGACTTAATGTGGAATTTTTCATTATCTAATGATAATATTTATTTATAAATAAGTTGGTTTAAAAATAAAGTTACTTAGATACTATATAATAAAGAGCTAAATAAAATTAAAGAACTTAAAATTTTTTCTTTGATTTGATGTAATATACAAAGGCATAATTGTTTAAAAAATCATCAAGATTTTGAAAACAATCATATAAATTCTATTGCTACTATTTTTAAAATTATGACTTTAATTTTCTTTAAAATTATAAATATTGAAGATTTTGAATTGTATTAGAATTATAAGAGTTTTACTCTTTTTTTTAAATGAGATCAAATTTATGAAAACTAAGTACAATACAAAAGATGGTTATTTCTTTTATATTCTATACAAATTTTTGTACAAAGTTAGGATAAATAAGAAATTATTATTATAAGATTAGAAATATGATGAAAGCAATAAATAATTTTTTAAGCTCCAAGTGAGCTGATATAATGTGTGACATAATATAAAAGAAAAAATTAATCTACATACCAAATGTAATCTTTTGTAGAGACTTTTGGCAAATTCTTTTTATTGTTGTTAAAAACTTAAGAGGTTGTTGATGCTTCTTTGCAACAATCAAAGATTTGGTTTCATATTAGAGTTTGCAAGTTGGCCAAAAAGATGCATTTAGAAGGTGCAATTGATAATAATCAATTATTTGCTAAAGAACTCTTAAAAGTATGTATTATATAAAACTATTACTTCTATTTTTTTATTATATAATATATATATTTTATATATCTAAGAATGGTCTTTATTTTTAGATTGAAAATGGATCAATAATTATAGATTCATTAAGATGTACAATAATTCTTCTAAAATGTATGAAAGTAGACTCAACATCAAATGATTTGATTTAAAGTATATATTTGGAACTAAATGAAGATAGAAGACTTAAAAATGAATATGTTACCAACTATTCTATTTTATCTATACACAATTATAATGTTGATGATCTAAACTTGCATGCTATGAAAAGATTTTATAAATTTTCACATATTTATTTCACTATAGATATAATAGTTATAAAAATGATGTCAACAATAATAATTAATAACCAACTAAGTATTTGAATAAATTAATTATATTTGAATTGCAATGTTCTATAGAACCTCCAATATATGTCTAACTCGTAGGATACATGTCTAACTTACAAGATAAGCTTCTTATATGTATGCCACATGTTTAACTTATACCACAAGTCACCAACGTGTGTGACATGTTGCCAATTTTTTGGCCATCCTATCAATCACCTATAGACATGCATAAAGGCAAAGCTACATCTATACAACTTCAAAGAAGTTTTTTTATAATATATTATAAATTTGTTTTTTTATCTATTTTTACCTATTCATATTATCCAAGTAATTATTGGAGTAAATATGGATGACTTATGTTCAATAATTCTTGAAGAACATAGGAATAATTACTCCAATAATTACTCCAATAATTCTTGAAGAATATAGGAATAGATCTTAGAACCTCCATATTTGCACATCAATAATTGTATGTTGTCCTTTTACAATGTACTTTCTTAAATATGATCAAGATCATATATCTTAAAAATAATAAAGACAAAAACACCACCATAGATGTAATTTATTCCAAAGTTCTTAGCATTTGAATTTTTGTAATAAATAAAAAATATATTTTTCAATTACACTAAAGAAACATAAATAACTTCATTGTTATGCATGTACTTTTTTTTTTTTTTTTTTTGTCATTTCTTTAAGAATTGTCAATTTTTCACAATTAAACTTTTACAACTCTTTCATTGCCAATGACATGGATTTCCACTGATATAATAATAATAATAATAATAATATCTTCATGGTTCTAGAAACCTCATTTAGGATTGTTTTAGACTGGTAGGTGATTTTTGAAAACTATCATCTGTTCATGAGACCTTTCCCAGCTGTGACCGAGAGACCCGGTATCCAAAGTTTTGAATTGCTCAGAAACCTGTTGAGACAATTGTGATGATGCACACGGTGGCTGGAGCAGCAAGTAGACCAACTGCCTCCTAATTTCGTCGCACGGTTATGGGTGGCGCGTGAAGCAGCAGGTGTCCTTAAAGTTTTGTTGCAGTTATACCTCGAGCTCTTCGTTTTGCCCAGTATCAGCCACCTCCATTACTGCAGGAGCTTCTCTTCTCATGACCGCGTTTACGCCGACCTTCACCTCGATGTTGTGTTATACCTCTCTGCCGTGCGCTTCTAATGGTGGCAGAATTGCTGCATTTGGTTGAGTTGTTGCAATGCCAAGAGATGTTTTCTTGGGTGCAGTGTCGATAATCCGTTTGCCTGCGAGTTATTATCCCCATTTCTGTTCTTCGATGTTGAACCTTGTAAGATGGCTAAGAGACGTGCTCCGTTATATTAATCAGAATTTCTTTAAATGTACTTTGTGGCTTGTCATTGGTAGTGTCATTATCAATGGTGTTAACGCAGTGTTAGTTTTGTTTTGCCAAACATCGGACCTCATCGCAGCTTTGCGTGCCTAGTTCATTTAGCTGTTTAATTTTTATTTTTGGTATGATTTGTAGATTTATTTTTAATTTTTTTACTTTTTAAATCATTGTAACTTCTTTAAATGCCTAGGAGGAGATTTGAATACTTCATAGCTATGTGATGCATGAAGGGCATTAATAATGTGCTAGGATGATGCATTGCAAGACTGTTCTGTTTGTGCCTGGAATTCATCGCCTAACCCTATTGTTTGTCTTTGTTCGCACCAGAATGACCCCCTATTGAATGTCAGTAGTTGTTAGTGGCCTCCTGTCCGCATTTGTACTATCGGGTCATACAGCGTATTACTCTGAGTCTAATCATCATTTGTGTTGAATATTTATGTCTTGAACATAAGACCTAGATGTGCTTTATGAATGTGGAATCAGCTATGAGGGAAAGTAGGCAGTCTTTTTGGTATTTTTTGCCTCTTTCATCTCAGTTGGGATAATTAGGTTCAACAGAGCTTTTGGTTGATCATCTAAGTCCTGTCATGCCATCTATCTGCAAATTGGTAATATGTTCTCGTTCTTTATCGCCTGTCTGTTCAAGCATGAGTCAGTTCTCAATGTATAAATTTCATTTGTATGATTTTTCCACACCTCTCTATGTCCTTTCATGGAGATGGGTCAAATTTCCAATATATTTGATTACCTTTACTCCATATTAAATTACAATTCTGTTGCAGAGTTCATAAAGTAGAAGTGGATTGGCAAGTTGCAAGTTCCTCAACAGTCACCCAATGTATATGACATAAAATCTCACATACAGTATTATTCTCTAAGCACTGTGAGCTTTATGTTCAAGAATTCTTATGAGGAGACGTCATGGGCTTTGTTCATGATGGTGCACTTAAAAATATTAAGGCATAATGCCCTCTTTGTGTTGACTCCAGCAATTCAATTCTTTAACTTACATTTTGGTTGTCACTTTTCATGCTTAGTTAAGTCCATTCAGTACCTTTATAATATTTGCTGGAGCTTCAGCCAGAAGCTGTTCTCACAGGTTGGTTCTGTGCTTGAATGTCCCACTTGTCACACGCCCGTGGTTTGTTGAAAATTGGCTTTTTTTTTAATGCTTTAGTATGTAAACTCGTATGACAAAAAATGGCTTCATTATTGTCAGATTTCATTGGAGAATGTAATATGTCCTCTAGAAACAGGCTGGCTGCTTTACATAATGCACTAGCATTCACTCTCAACAACCATGCTGGATTAGCTCTAATGAGACACAACCTCGAACTGTATGGTTACCAAGCTCGACCTCTAAATATGGGACAAGTTCCACTAATACACAGTCCATAGAACATCCTACTGATGGAACAAAAGGTCACTACACAACACAGTGAGATTCAAAAGCTTTTAACAGAGAATCAACAAATTGCTGTCACGCATGTGGCACTTCGACAGGAGCTGGCAGCAGCTCAACAAGAGATTCAGAGGATGCCATCCATAATTCTAGGACTTCAAAAATGATAAGGAGGTCCAAGTTAGGTATTCAAATGATCAGACCTGCTAAATGCATTGAGCGCTAATTGGAAGTTTCACAGTGTGATCCTCGATCAACGCACATGCCATGTATTAGAAAATCTTGAGGACGCTTTCGAACGTAACGGACTCCTCTACCCTGTTATTGACCATGTCATAAAGATACCTTTTTTTTCTTTTTTTCTTATTCAGTACGAGGTCGTGATCAGCGTAGTAACTGAATGAAATGTTCATAATGTGCAAGCCACGTCTAGTTGGCAATTGATTGAAGGCACTGGTGTAACTTAGTGGTCTCTACATTTAATCAAATAGTTTTTTGGTTGCAGAAGTGCCTTCGGCTATGAGAAAAAGGCAAATGCCGATCAGCTTGTTCAGCGGCAGGCAATGGAAAAGAACTTGGTTAGCATGGCCAGAGACGTGGAAAAGCTTCGCGCAGAGTTGACAAATGCAGAGAAGCGGCAACGGCTTAATCCTGACTAAGGTACGGAAATCTTTTGTTGAAAATACAAGATTAGATTGAATCTTTTGCATAGCCTTCCTTTACAAGTGAGTAGTTGAAATAGTGAATATATTTAACACTGATATTCGAATGTTTCTGTTATCAGGAGCTTCCGCATACACTGAGGTCTTTCCGGGCACTGACTTTACCTACAACTCAATACAACAGCAAGTCTTTTGTGATAACTATGGCCTTCATTCTTAGGTACGTATTGCGGTCTTTATGCTGATGATTGTACCCTGAACCATTTTTCTTACCATTTACCAACTAATGATTCCAAGGTTGATCTATTTTACTATTTTCCTTATTGTGTTTCTTAAATGAATCGTGAGTTTATGTGATTTTAAAGATTGAGATCCAGTATTTTGAAAATTTCACCAAAAGCAAAAATAACTAAGCCCTGTTCGTTTACTCTCCATTTAGCGACGGACGCCTTTCTAGCAAATTGAGAATATTGCGCAAGAGTCCTTTCGCACTGAGTGTTTTTCAATTTAAACGAGAGAATACCTAACTACCTAAGAGACCAAAAATGTAGTCAAGTTTTCAGATTTTAAATACAAGCATTGTTAGAGTTAGCCTCGATTTGGACCTTGGACACAAACAAGTTTTCTTGTTCTCTGGTTCGAATATCTGCAAGATACCTTCAAGTGAGTTCTTTCAATGAATTTAGTTCTTGCAATGTTATGTATCTAATGTAGTAGTTTGTCAACTTCACCATAAGATATAGTTTGTTTATCAAATTTTATCACTATCCAAGATAACTCGATCATATATTCAAAAATCGTATACATTTTCATGATATGTAGCACTTGGGATATGGGAATAAAATTTAGGAGCGATGTACAGTAATTAAGACTCGTGAGGAAAAAAATTAAACTTACAATGAAAATTATCTATGCATACCTTGAAAGACTCAGTTCTATCAAGTGTGACCAAGAGAGAGGGAACTCTGCCGTCACAGATTAATAGAAATCCAGCGATAATCAACATTTTCTTCCTTTCTACTCTGCAAAGATAGGAGTTTGTGAAGCCTGTTTAAAAGTTCATATATTTCTGGAATTTGTTTTTCCTTTTCAAGGTATATTTGATTCAGTTTGATGTGATGGCACTCATGAGTATTTTGATCATCAAATAAGTAATGGAATATGTGCTTCAAATTCTTACACCTTTTTTTCCCCTTGTTAATAGAGAGATTCAAAAACATGGTTTTACTCCCAGAGATAAATAATATCAACTTTTTAATTTTTTTTTATGTCATTGGCCATATTGTAAGCACATTGCATCTTCTTTGCATAGAATTTGCCAGTTGTAGATACTCAACTAGACCACACAATCCTTTTTAGTAATTTTTTTAATTTTTTTATCCCAGGAATGCTACATGATTAGTATTTTGTACATATAACAGAATTCATGAGGCTGCTGTGCAAACCATGTAGCTTGTGTCTCCAAACAACAATGTTGAGAGTCAATAAGAGATGTTATTATAACACCACAAGAAATCAGATTTATCATTCTGATGTTTTCCAAGTTCTCAAATTTGTGAAAACACCTTTTAGTTGGCAGATGAGCCGTGAGAAAGCATCAATAATGTAAATCTAACAACCTTCCTTAAGTAGGAGTTGATCATATTATGTAAAACCTATGAGAAATTTGTGAAGAACTTGACTTGCCTGGTGCATACCACATGTTGAATTCATGTGCTTTCTTGGTATTAATCATCCATGTAGTGCAAGTGTGGTGACACAGTTGAGAATTGGTAGATTGTGTCATAAAAAAATTCACTTCTTTTTGTTTATTGTTGATGCTGAGGTAAATTTTGAACTCCTGAATTGTATTGTGCAAGTTCCCCTGTGTTTCCTTACAACCAAAAAATTGTAAATACATGCTTCATCAAATAAGTATCATGATAGAAAAATAGGGGAACAAAGTTCAAACAAGAATATAGGAGGTTCTCCTATGAATACAACTATTTGAAATTGAATTTACCCACAATAACATTACATAAAGTAGAGAAATCTGGACAAAGTTGATTATCTGAATGTGGGTCATGCTTTTAAATCCTCCAATGTCTCAATAATTTCACACTAGTAACATGTTTGAGTTCACACTACCAAGTTGTCATAGGTAGGATAGGTTTGTAACTTACAGCCACTTATCTATTAATATTCAGATCTTTCTAGCTATGGAGAATGGTGCACAGTCTCCTTAGAGACAAACCCCAGCCTGAAGATCATACAACATGCAATGTCTTGTGAGCAACTACCATGTATGTAGACAAGAGTAGTTATAAATGTGCAGATCAAAAATAGGTTTCTTCTACTCCAACCTATCTTCTACTTCAACTTGCTGCTTCTTGAGCCACTAACAACCAAACAGTAATTAATCAAATTGATAATTAATCTGATTTTTGCCATTTTGATATTTGCTTCATGCAAGCAGGCTTCCATAGTTCAGTGTACACTGTAGTAAAAGGGTAACTTGTGACTGATTTTGTATAAGCTGTAGAATCCTGGATTAGTGGACTTATGGCTACTTGAAATTCAATGGGTACCTGAGGAGGTTGATGTGTTGAAGGCAGGCCTTTTGAGCTGCTATGTGTTGAGAACTTCTGACTTTTAGAAACCACTAGAAACTGAGTCATTTCTATCTTGTCATGCAAACAATAGATCACTTGCATTAGATTGGATTGAGATACCCAAACAGTAGATCTACTTCTGGGAGAAGATCCTCCTCTTTGCTCATTTTGCTTGGAGCCCTCTAGTTCCTGGTTTCATTTTGCTTACAATTTGCCAGCCTTTTCCTTGATTGTTTATTCATCTTAATGAAATTGGTCAAATTGTATGTGATGTTGGAGGAATAATTCCACTACAACATTGGTGTGCAATTTTCATTACTTTTCACAAGTAAATGTTCTTAATTTGCAGCTGATGAACTGGGCAAAAATCTGAAGAACCATCACTCCATTGTACTGTAAAGCAAGGCAAGAAACAATTTGGTTGTGGATAGAAGTATTCTTAAGTGGTTCATAATTCTTAAGTGGTTCTTAGTGGGTTAAGTCATAATGAGTGCTTCATACATCAATTTTACTTTCTGTAGTATAGTGAGACCACAAAAAAAATTCCCTGTCAGGAGATGCTCACATGCTTTAAGGATGAAGTTCAAAAGATTTTACAAATCCCACTTTTCTCTGTGGAATAGTTATCTGCTTTAAGAGGCTAGATTCAAATGGTGGTTTCTTTTTTATTATTTATTTAAAAGTAACAAAAGAATCATATTTTAAGGATTTCTAGACAAAAATGGTATAGTTGACAAGTTTCGAAATAATAATAGCATGACCCACATTCAATTTCTTAATCGATTCTCTTTCTAGACAAAAATGGTATAGTTGACAAGTTTCGAAGCTTCGCATTATTGTAGCAAAGGTTTGTTTAAATATATAGTTTTATACATAAAAATAAATGTTATGTGATTCTGAATCGAACAATATTCCTTCGCATTATTGTAGCAAAGGTTTGTTTAAATATATAGTTTTATACATAAAAATAAATGTTATGTGATTCTATAAATAAGGGACTGTAACTTTAAACAAAATACTTGGTGAACTTTCTAATGTATTCTTTTTCTTTTTCTTCATAAATGTATCACAAATTGAGTTTTAGATTTGACTTGAGATTGTTTCAAATGATAATACTACTCACCTAATTTTACTGTATTGAATAAGTGTGCTTGGGTAGTAAATGTTATAGAATGTTGCATCAGGGGTGTTTTTAACCAGTTGGGTTCAGGAGTAAGAGCTATTTTGTCATGACTACCTACTTAGAATCTATCGAACTCCATGTTATAGTGCTATCTCATTATGTTACTCTATTTTAATATTTACTAGTGCTGTTTGGGTGCAAATTCTTCATCTTAGAACTTTTTCTTCTTTTTTTTTTTTCTTTTTTTTTTTTTTTTTTTTTTTTTTGTATACAAGTAGCTTCGCAAAAAGTGAAAAAAGAAAGATAAAAGGAAATGAAGTCAGACGTGTTATGTGGAATATTTTGGTGAGAACGTTTAAATGTTCCTTGTTTAGATCATATTTATACTAATTGTTGAGTCAAGAATTGCTTTTAGCAGAGGAAGGTTTAAATTTAGGTAGTGTTGGTGAAATTCATTATTTGCAGTGACAACATAAAACATGTGTGCAAAAGAGCATCCAAATGAGACTCGACTTCTAGCTAATACTTTTATTGGTTCTCTGTATTGACAATTGTTTCTATTATTGAAAGCTTCTCCTGTTAATATTAAACAATTCTAAACTACTATCTCCACAAATTCTAATCAACTACTTTAAATCTTACATGTTTGTTTTTATGAGTTACATCAATGAACTGAAAAAAATAAATAAAAAATACAGTAAAATAAATAAATGTGTAACGCTTGCTTCACAATTTGAATATATTTGAAAACAACGAACTGAATAAATTATATATTATTTAAATTAAATGCATGGACATTGCACTTAAAGCAATGAATAATTAAGGTTTTTTTTTTGGTTGTTATACAACCAAGTTTTTTTGAACACACACACACACACAGATAATAAATTTTGAAAGGTTTCAGCTCATTCTATTATTGTTTTTAGAGTAATTATAATGTGGGTTTTCACACATTATGAAATTTCCTTCCATTATAGCAATCCACATTTGATACCATTTTTCCTGTTTTGCATGCATTGCACCTTGCATCCCCGTGATGCTATAAGTGAAAGATATTTGTAGTTTTATACATGAATTTGTAAACTCTTATGAAAATTGTTTCAAGCATTTTAAATTTCATATAATATATCAATATATTTGAGGTTGGATTAAAATATATTTATAATAATATTTTTAAAAACTCTTTGAACCACAAGTACAAACAACATAACCAAAATATTGTATTCTTTTGTTGTAAATAATTTGTGGCTCTTAAAACTAAGATTGTTTGTATTTGAGTCTAAGTATCTAATACAATGGAATAAGATAGATTTTGGGGAAATGGTTTATTTTTTGTAATGCACTTGTTAATTAACATGATAAATAGTATGATATGTTGTATCTCTCACTATTGATCATTGATTTCTAGTTTATCTTTCATTTTTGAGTGTGACTTCCTTTTGATCCCAAAGAGTTCTGAGAAAACCAGATTTAATTCAAAGACTTAAAATACAATAACAAGTACTTTTCCATATTTTTTATACTCAACATTCTAAAAGTGTCTCACAGTTCTTTTGCATTATTTATATGTTGAATATATATATATATATATATATATTTATTTATAAGCAGAATTTATTCAATTAATGTTATAGGTTTTGAAATGCTTTTTCACCACAAGAACATCAAAAAAAAAGCTAATTAAAATTACAAAACCCTTCGTAAAATACTAATGACTGATTGTTTAATGATCCATTATTACAAAAAAACAAAATCCACAATAATAATCTCAAACGTGCACTGAAAGATATACATGATTCACATGGAACATCCTTTTGGTTGAGATATCCAAAGTCATTATCTTCAAAGGGAATATTAACTATTCATTCATTCATTCATTCATTCATTCATTCCTATCCAATTAGGGTTCTGTGGGACATTGAGCTATTAATATATATATATATATATATATGTATGTAGATCTGGTGCCTTTTTCTTTCTTTCTTTTTTTGTTTGTTAATTTGCAAACTCACCCATAAAGTGCAGTTTCAATGTAAATAAAAGGCAACTAATCTCTAAACTCTACAGAAAGCTCTGAGATGTAAATGTGGGTCCTGGGGATATCCTCTTTTGCTTGTATGCCAGCAATCTGGGAATGTACCCATATCTACAATACAACACAAAAACACACACTGCGGGGTGTGAAAGGGTGCAAAAAAAGGATGAAGATGTAGCAATACTCTCAAACAAAATTGCTTTTGGGGGAAAGGCAACGAAAGTGATGGTGTGTGATTTTGGCTTCCTTTGCTTTTTTTTGTGCCCCTTTTTGCCGCCCCCTTCTGCTTGTTCTTTTCCTTAGCCCTGTCTCCTTGTGGCCAGCCCCATTGCCCGTGAGATTCCATGGCCAAGTACCAAACCTATTTGCAAGCTTGATTGCATGGCACACATGAAGAGTAGAAGAAGGGAGTCTCTCAAAATAAAAACAAAACAAATGAAATGAAATGAAACTGCAAACAAAAGCTGCATTCCAAAAAGAAATAAGCAAT